ATCAGCAGCATGAGCTCTGACTCACAGACCCCGTTCTAGAACGTTCTGGGGCTTGCTTGGCTTGGGCACAGTCCCCCATTGTTGACATGGCCTCCTTGACACGTGCACATCTGAGCTTGCAGACCAAGCCCGTGGACCCGACCGTGGACGGTGGTGCACAGGTGCAACAGATTGTGAACATAGAGTGTGTGTGTGACTTCACGGAGGCGCCAGTCCTCAACATCCAGTTCAGGTGAGGAGCTCATGGGCTGGTGGGCTGAATGACCAGCCTGCTCTTGCCTGGGGCCTGGGGCTGTGGGGTCGTGCCTGCACACAGCCGTGTCCCTGGGAGGCCTTTGTCCTCGATGAGCTTCCGCTCCTTCCTTCGGAGGCTGTTGTGAGGGCTGAGGGGGTGGCCCAAGTGAGTGGCAGCACCCACTGTGTGCGCTGCAGTGTTAGGTGCATGGTGTTTGGGAAATGAGGGAGAGGCAGTGTGCGCAGGGTTGCGGGAGGCCCTGCGAGCCCGCGCTGTGTTGCTCAGGTCCTGTGCTCTCTAGCTGAGGGACGGGAACTGGGGGGCCCGCGCTGTGGGGCTGGGACCAGCTGGGTCCTGTGTGCCCCTGTGCGGGCTGTTGTGTGGATGGCACCCTAGGCCCTCCCATCCGGGGGTGCATTGTTGCCCAGTGTCCCCCGAGCGTACATGCTGCTTGGTCATTATCCTTTTTAAGACTAATTTATTTTAGAGAGAGAGGGAGAGTGGGGGGAGGGGCAGAGAGAGAATCTCAAGCAGACTCCCCGCTGAGCCAGAGCCCGACATGGGGTTCTATCCCAGGAGCCTGAGATCAGGACCTGAGTGAAATCAAGAGTCGGACTCTTAACCCACCGAGCCCCCCAGCTGCCCCGCATTTTATTTTTTATTTTTATTTATTATTTTTTAAAGATTTTATTTATTTATTTGGCGGAGAGAGACACAGCGAGAGAGGAAACACAAGCAGGGGGAGTGGGGGAGGGAGAAGCAGGCTTCCCGCGGAGCAGGGAGCCCGATGCGGGGCTCGACCCCAGGACCCTGGGATCACGACCTGAGCCGAAGGCAGACGCTTAACCCACTGAGCCACCCGGGCCCCCCAACTTGATTATTTTTTAAAAAAAGCTATGTTTTGTGTTGCTACTGGGTTCCTGACTGTCCTTTTTCAGTGAGTGGGAGAGAGTGTATGTGACCAACTGGCTTCTGTAGGGTGTTTGTAGGTTAAAGCTTTGGAAAAGCGTGTTTTCAAACATTAAAAACACAGAGAACTGAAAACTGTGTACTTTGTAGAATAGGGAAATAGGCAAATTTTTGTTGCATTCTGTAGGCAAACACTTGTTTTAGTCTCTTTTCATAGAAAAAAGAAAAATCCCATACAATTTAAACCAACTTAGAGTCGTAGGAAATGGGCTATGGGGGAAAGTGAGGAGATGTAGAAGCCCGAGGTTGGTCTGACAGGCCCAGAAGTGCCTGGCCGGAGCTGCGCCCCCCCAGACGCACACACAGAGACTGGTGCAGTGCCCGGCTCGTTGGTCCTCCTCGTCTGCCACCCTTCCAGAACGTTCTGTTCCCCACGCCCCTCCCACCCTCCGCAGCAGCAGGCATTCCCTGTGCCCCGTTGATTTGCAAACTAGGAATTTGGTTCTGTAGTTGAGATTCAGAATTTTCGGTGGCTCATGCGCTCTGCTCACTCTGTCTCTGTTGCTCGTAGGTATGGGGGAACCTTTCAGAATGTGTCTGTTAAGCTGCCTATCACACTCAACAAATTTTTCCAGCCCACAGAAATGGCTTCTCAGGATTTCTTTCAGCGTTGGAAGCAGCTGAGCAGGTGAGTGATGGGATGTGGAGTGGGGGCAGGGCTGGGTCCTCCCACGCTGACCTGGCTCAGTGTGGTGACTGTTGGTTTTACCTCCCAGTCCCCAACAGGAAGTGCAGAACATTTTCAAAGCAAAGCATCCAATGGACACAGAAATCACCAAAGCCAAGGTAAGGCCCGTTGATGGGTGTTCCCAGGGTTGGGACGCTGCCCGGGGCTCTGGAGGGAGGCCGGTTGTGTTGCTCTCCTTCCATCATCCCCGGTCGCACTGCCCTCTGCACCTCTCTGTGACACAGATCATTGGGTTTGGTTCTGCGCTCCTTGAAGACGTTGATCCTAATCCTGCAAATTTCGTGGGGGCTGGCATCATACACACCAAAACCACCCAGATTGGATGCTTACTGCGTTTGGAGCCAAATCTACAAGCCCAGGTCAGACTTCTTGAGGAAATAGCTATATACGCCCGAGCTGTGTTCTGGTTGTGGTGTGATGTAGGTCCTAAGTGGAGTTGTCTGAGGAGTTCTGATAGGTGTGTCCCCCTGTGTAACCTCCACTATCCTGATACATAGAACATTTTTGTCACTCCAGAAAGTTCCCTGGGGTCCACTCTCCCTCCATCTGTCTTGACCTCCTGTAGAGACCACTACCACGGGGCTGCTGTCCGGCCGACCTGACCTTGTGCTCCAGCCCTCACCCTTGTGGTTGTGCGTGTGCACTCTTGGCTTACCTAGTCCTGTGGATGCACACCTGGGCCCGACCAGTTTGGGGCTGTGCTGTTGAGTGGAGCCACCGCGCACCTTTGTGCGGCCGTCTGTCTTCCCTTCAGAAAGGTCCACTCCAGTGGCTCCACTCATGGGCTGCCACTGGTTACTGTCAAATTTTCTGTATTTTAGCTGCTTGAGAGTGTGTTTGCATAAGTCTTTGTGAAATGCTGGGGCTGGGTGCCTCCAGGGAAGCACTGAGCAGGAGAGCTCGAGGGGCCATCGGCTGAGGGCGCCCGAGCCTGTGTGCGGCCACTGACCTGCCGTGTTCTGTTGCAGATGTACCGACTCACGCTGCGCACAAGTAAAGAGACCGTCTCTCAGAGGTTGTGTGAATTGCTGTCAGAACAGTTTTGATCAACGAGGATGGAGGATCAGGCTCCTGTGTGTTGCATTTTTCTTCATCTCTGTCATTTGTCTTCATTGCTGCAAATAAACAGCCCTGTCTACAGGCGTCTCTCAGCCTTGCTTCTCCAAACCGGATCCCTTTTGGGTCGGGATGAGGATACCAGTGTGTGTTTAAGAATGAGAGGCTGAGCCTGCACTGCAGTCGGGTCAGAAGAAGGGAGTGTGGGCCCCGGGTCAGTGTTCACAGAGGTCAGGACAGTTCTGTGCGTGATCTCCCAAGTAAAGGGAAATGACAAGTTTGATTGAAAAGGCAGATTTTTTGAAATGGTACCAAAACGCTTCTGCTCTGTTGCTGATAGTTCATCTCTGATTCTCTGAGAGAAGCAGGAGCAGCTTGTCTGTAGTGGGTGAGATCTTCACTAGGCCATTTGGCTCCTGTGGTTGGGTGACGCCAGGTGCAGGAGATGTGTGACAAGGCCCATGGGCTGGTGCAGTGTGTCCGTGTGCGGCCTGGGTGCCATCCGCAGGGCCCTGGGTGCAGGAGCACTGTGCACGTTGGCTTGCTGCAGCGTCCACTGGAGGAGTCTCGGGGGCACGGTTTGAAATTCGGAAGTTGAAAACGTTGTTTTTCATGACTACCAGAAAGACCGTGTATATTGACTGGGTTGAATTCTGTATTCCTTTTCCCTGCACTGTGGTGTTAACGGGATATAGGTAGTGCTGAGCGTCTGAGTGTCTGAGGCCTTGGGTTTATGGCACGGTGGCGGGGGGTTGCTGCTGGCTCTCGAGGCTGGGTGGCCAGTCTCACTCATCTTTGGGCTTCCAAGAAGTGCGCCATAACCGTAGTCACCTTGGACTGGTTCCTGTTTTTGACCAGAGGGTTAAGTGTGGGCGGCAAAGCAGATTCTGGAAGGGGCGTGTGGGACCTTGTGTGGGTAGAGGACGGGCTCTGTGTGTGGTCAGGGAGCCGAGAGCCATGCCGAGGGTGAGCTGGAGCCCAGCCTCCGCGTGCTATTCTTGGCCTCGGCTCTCATGTGCCGTCACTGTGAGCTGCTTGCCAGGCCGCCCGTCTGCACCCAGAGGTGGCCGGGGCAGGAGCAGAGCTGAGCCAGGGCCTCTGTTCTGTCGGTGGGTGGCCCCAGAGAGAGCCAGGGTCCACTCTGGGTTCCCCTGGCTTATCAGCAGGAATTGGGTTCCTCAGAGGCATGCCATGGGGGAGCCCTGTGGGGTGGCCAGGGGCACAGGCAGCCCTTTGCTGCAGCGTGGGTCTCGGGGAGGTAACTGGAGGAAGTCACAGTCTGGATGCTGGTGCCACTGAAGAGGCCCGCACTCAGGGTCCTGTACCTATCACTCTGTGGGTGTGGGTTTGGGGGCTCACAAATGCCCCAGGTGTGTGGGAGACAACACAGGCAGAGTTCACGGGCCAGCCTCTGTGTGTTGAGCAATGCTGGTTTATTTGTTGTCTGTACCCATTGGGTTTGTCGTGCGTGGCACATGTGATGCTCCTCCCCAGGGTGAGCTTGGTTGGTGGGCAGGTGCTGATGCTGGCTGGCACCTGCGTGCCCCCTCCCTCCCTTCTCCAGCTGTGGGGTCCTCTCCTCGCTGCTCTCCTTGCTGCTGCCCTGTACCTCTTCCCCACCTGTCCCTGCTTAGGTGTCCTGCACCTCATGGGACCTGTATCCCCTTTTCTCAGGCCTCCCTCTAGAGTGGCCTTTCTCACTGCCCCTACCGAGGTACCTGCTGCTCAGGCTGTTTCTGGGGCCCAGTTCTGGGAGGGATGGGCGGCCACCTTCAAAGTTTGGGAGGCTACGTGGACAGGTATGCCCTGTATGGTATGGTAGGGGGGCCACCAGTTTATTCCAGCCTGCTGGGCTTGGTCAGGGTCTGCATTCCCTGCCTGGCAACCCCCTTTCCTTCAGGTGCCCTGGTAAGCCACGTGCGAGGGGTCTTTGAGGCTGTGCCTTGTGGAAGGAGAGGGGCTGCCAGGCACACAGCAAGCCAGTGTTGGGAGGAGTGGTGGGGGTACTGTTGGGAACGGTGCTTTGTCCTCACACCTGGGGGGCTGTGTCCCCTAGTCCCCACAGCGCTGTGGGCTGCATGCACAGCTGCTGAACATCTGTAGCGTGAGCACCAGCTGCTGGCCTTGCGCTTCGGGGTCTGAGCAGGGCAGCACAAACTGCTTCTGGTAGGAGCTGAGGGGGTGGCAGCAGCTGCAGTGGGTGTCCACCTGATTCGTGTGGATGTTGAAGCTGCAAAGAAGCCAGAGCCAGGAGCGTGGGTCAGGGCCACCGCCCAGGAGTGCTCCTGTGTCTCCTGGACCACTCCAGAGCGAAGGGTGGGTACTGAGTCCCAGGCGGGCCCTCAGGGGCGTGCCCAACCCATCCCGGCCCTTGCTGACTTCCCCGGCTCGGCTCTCAGGCAGTCAGCGGAGGGTCTGCCTTTGCCTTAGGCAGGCGTGATGGAGGTGGGGTGTTGGCTAAGGCTACCTGACTGGGTAGGATGCTGCCTGGGGCCAGGAACCTGCTCTTGGGTGGGGCAGGCTCCAAGCTCCGGGCCCAGCCCTGTTTAGAGGCTGCTTGGGACCAACACTCACCTGGCCGAGGAGGCACAGAAGCCCTCACAGCGGGTCACTGTCACATTGGCAGTGCACCCTCGGTATGTGACCTCCTCCTCAAGCTCCTTCACGTCGCAGACCCCTGGGAGATGAGAGAGGTGTCAGATGCCAGCTCCAGGGCATGGTTGGAGGGCTGACACAGACCTGACCCTGGGGACAGGACACGTGAAGTGGGGGATGAATGCAGCTCAGTTGAGTAAGGAGGGGCAGGTTGCAAGCTGCACAGTTGCTTATATGAGACAAGTATCCTTTCCTGCCTGTGGTGGGGTCTCCCCTGGGCTCCCACCCCTGCACTTGGGCCCCGGCCCCAGGTGGTTTCGCCTTGTCCCAGCCCCACTGACCTCAGACCTCACAGCTCTGCATGGGAACAAAGGCTGATGGGCTCTCATTTTGGGTGTTCTTCCTGAGAGCTGGATACCCTGGGAGTCCCCCCAGGTCAAGGGTATTCTGAGCCCTGGTGGGCCACTCTCAGGCCCCTCCTGCAGTGGGCATGGGCGTCTCTGGTCTGCTGGGACCAGAACCTGCCAGAGGGATGGGGGAAGGTCTGCACATCCCTGGAGGAGACAGATGGCACCTCAGGAGCTCCCTGCAGGGGTCTGTGCTCTTGGACGGGCAGGGTGTGGACCCAGCCATAGATGCTGGCCTGCTGGCAAGCTGCCTCGGGCGCCCTGGCAACAGGCAGAGCGGCACTGGCCTTAGGACCTGCCCGTGTGGCGCTTAAATGAAAAAGCTAAGATGTTCCTGAGCAAAGACTGCCCAGTCTGCCCTTTCTGCCCTGCCTGCCCTATGTGTCTGCTGGAGGTGGGGGCTCCCATTGCCCTCAGCTGTCCTCTGACCCCATCTCCTGCTTCTGCTCCCTCACCCCTCATCCCCTCCTCTTGGACAGCCTGCACCCAGTCCCTGTCTCACAGGAGGAAATCCATTACTGTGGACAGGCCTGCCTGGGGGACGGGAGGGGACATGTGAGGGGAACCCACAGTACTCCGGGGGTACTGTGCAGCAAACACCTGGAAGGGAGGGGAGGGGTGTGTCTGGAGGACAGGGGGGCCCTTGGCTGCCAGTCCTGCCTGCCACTAGTGGTCTCCTGCGGTGAGGCATGTACCTATTGGCCTTTCATTTTCCTCTGTTTCCTCAGGGAGGGTGGGAATACTTGAGTCCCAGGACCCCTGCCTCTCCTGAACTCCTGTGATCTCATGAAGGGGCAGCCGTGGAGGGCTTCTAAGGGAGTTGCCTCCATAGGAGGCCGGAACCATAGCAGGGGATGTAAGGTGGGGGTAAGGCATGAATGAGTCAGGTACAGGGCAGGCATGCAGGGCCCACATGAGGGAAAGGGGACCTCCTAGGGGAGGCCAGGCACCCCTTTTGGCCAGACTGGAATGTATTAGAGAGGTGTCTAGAGAGGAGTGGGGAGAGGGGCTGGAGGCAGCTCAAGGAAGGCTCAGAGAACTATCCTAAGGACTTGGAGTACACACAGAAGAAGGAGGCATGACTCAGTCCCTGCCTGCTGGTGGGAATGTTGGCTTTCTCAGATGCCAGAAGGACATGGGGATGATCGGAGGGATGGGTGTGGCCTCAAGTCTGAGCTCAGCGTGCTGTGCTGTCCGCTGACCTCAGGAGAAGTGAAGTCTTTATGGGCACGAAAGCAGATCACACTGCATGACAACCAGTGAGCCCCTGTCAGCAGCGTGCATGTCGGGCTGGGAGGGTGGCAGAGTGGGGAACGCGCTGAGAGGCAGGAGCACAGCGCAGAAGTCATCGGGCAGTGAGAGGACAGTGAAAGGCCAGGACTCTGTGGGAGTAGGCCGCGGGGCTCTCCAGGGGGATGAGGCACAGCTGAAGGATGCTGTGCACGAAGGTGGCAAGGTGGGCTACAGAGATATATCCCTTACCTGGAGAGCTGGACGAAGGTGTCACCAGAGAGGAGACGGATGGTGCCCCAGTAGACAAGGACCCTGTGGAATGAAGGGATGAGCTTCCATGGACAGAGGTCGAGCTGGCCAGGATGACGGTGGTTGACACTCCAGTGGTAATAGATTGTCCAGTGGTGAGGTTAGTAACTGGAGAAGTCAGGATGGCTGTCACCCCCACAGTGGAGGAAAAGAGACTGGATGTAGGGTTTCGGGTGGTGAGAGTAGTAGACTGTGAGGTGGTAGAGTGGGAAGAGAGAGTTTGGGACATGGGGGTGCTGGGTGTGGTCCTGGGCAAAGAAGGAAGAATGCTGGTGCTGGCCAGGGAGACAGGAGTCCCAGGAAGAGGAGGCTTGGTGGGCAAATTAGAGGGAGGAAAGTTGTGGGTGGGAAGAGAAGAGGCTGAGGACAAGGTGGAGGTGGAGGTGCTTGGGAAAGAAACAAAGGAAGAAATGGAGGCTGTGCTTGATGTACTTGGGAAGCCGAGGGAGGTGAGGGTGTGAACGCCAGAACTTGAGCTTGTGACCTGTGGAGGCGGAGAGAAGGGGCCCGTGTGCCTGGCAGTGGAGGGGGAAAGAGGGGTCTCCGGGTGTGTTGGGGTGATGACGCGGTGGGTAGTGGGAGTCACGGAGGACGTGGTGGAGGGAGCAACGTGCGTGGAGAGGGTGGTATCAGGGCGCGATGGGGTGGGCAAGGAGGTGGTAGTCCGGAAGGAAGTCCCCATGGGGGGACCTGTCGTATGGGTCGTGGTGGAGACAGGTGGCGTGGGCGCGGAGTGAGACGTGAGCAGCGTCTGTCGCTCGCTGCTGATGGCCGTGGCCGTGGCTGTGGCGGTGTGCGTCACGGAGGTCAGGGTCCCCGTCGGAGGTGGCTGGTGGGATACAGAGGGTTTAGGAGCGGTTGAAGTTTCGTGGTGGATGGGTACAGAAGAGTAAGACTCTCTGGAGGTGGAGGTTTGGGTTGTGCTGAGCGAGCTGGGGGTGTGCGTAGTCTGAGTGAGTGGTGGGGTCGTGTGCCTGGAAGTGGAGGGGGAGGAAGGGGTCTCCGGGTGTGTTGGGGTGATGACGCGGTGGGTAGTGGGAGTCACGGAGGACGTGGTAGAGGAGGCAACGTGCGTGGAGAGGGTGGTGTCGGGGCGCGATGGGGTGGGCAAGGCGGTGGTAGTCCGGAAGGAAGTCCCCGTGGGGGGACCTGTCGTATGGGCTGTGGTGGAGACAGGTGGCGTGGGCCCGGAGTGAGAGGTGAACGGTGTGTGTCGCTCGCTGCTGGTGGCCGTGGCCGTGGCCGTGGCGGTGTGCGTCACGGAGGTCAGAGTCCCTGTGTGAGGTGGCTGGTGGGATACAGAGGGTTTGGCGGTGGTTGAGGTTTCGTGGTGGATGGGTACAGAAGGGTAAGACTCTCTGGAGGTGGAGGTTTGGGTTGTGCTGCGCGAACTAGGGGTGTGCGTGGTCTGAGTGAATAGTGGGGTCGTGTGCCTGGAAGTGGAGGGGGAGGAAGGGGTCTCCGGGTGTGTTGGGGTGATGACGCGGTGGGTAGTGGGAGTCACGGAGGACGTGGTAGAGGAGGCAACGTGCGTGGAGAGGGTGGTGTCGGGGCGCGATGGGGTGGGCAAGGCGGTGGTAGTCCGGAAGGAAGTCCCCGTGGGGGGACCTGTCGTGTGGGCTGTGGTGGAGACAGGTGGCGTGGGCCCGGAGTGAGAGGTGAGCGGCGTGTGTCGCTCGCTGCTGGTGGCCGTGGCCGTGGCGGTGTGCGTCACGGAGGTCAGAGTCCCTGTGCGAGGTGGCTTGTGGGATGCAGAGTGTTTGGGGGTGGTTGAGGTTTCGTGGTGGATGGGTACAGAAGAGTAAGACTCTCTGGAGGTGGAGGTTTTGGTTGTGCTGCGCGAACTAGGGGTG